TGTGTGTGTGGGGGGGGGGGGCTTTCTGGCCCTTCCTTTTTTTTAATATCTAATACTTTTACATGAGAGAACCTGTTGTTAAAATATTTGAATCCCACCACTGGGCCTAGGTGATGGACAAAATCTGGTATATGGAGTTTTCTCAACTGACTTCATTTCTTTCTATTGAGAACAAGAAAATCAATATAATGTAAAATTTATAAGTATTCACATAAAGGAAAACTAGCACTCTCCCAATTGTTGTTGTAAGAGTAATTCATACTTATGATAACTGAATCTATACTTCAAGATCAATTATAATAGGTAATTTGAGAATGGTGAACTACAAAAGTCATACAAGACTAATAATTTATTTGATTTTTAGAAGAATATAAAAGGAAGGCTGAAAAATATAGCACCTATTTTGGGCACCATGAAAGATTCCCAAGCAGTTATTTTCACAGTTTTATGCAATCATATAGGGGATAAGTAGGTTTATTAAAACAAGAATCAGGTGCACAAGACTCGAGAGTGTTAAGAGCTTCATTAGTTTGTTGAATGTGTTATTCGCTTTATTTATTTTTTCTGAGATGTCTAAAAAATTTTATAGTTGGGTGAAACAAAAAGTTTAAAAACACGCTCAGCTTTTATTCCCAGAGTATTAGAAGAAAATAACAGAGCTCTTAAATACTTTGTGAAACAATCCATGTATTTTTGTGAAAACATCTCTTCCCATTGTATAATTCACTCATGTAAAGATAAAATATTTCTTAAACTTCCAATTTGTTGGTCACTACTTTATCTAAATTACAACCTTAAAGTTAAAATTGAATTATTGTCAGCCAAGCATCAAATGTTTCTAAGTTACTTTATAACACTTTAAATGGTTTTCACTAACATTCAATACATGAGAACTTCTACAGTATTAAGTTGTACATCTAGCAGCTGATGATGGATAAAATATCTTCTTAAGAAGTTCATAAGAAGCATTAATAATCCCCCAGGAGATTAAGGCTCTTGTATAGTTGATATGAACCCCATAAAACATGTTCTTTATCCTATAACCCCGTTCTACATAAGTTAAATGAAGGGCCTCAGAGAAGCTCAGAAAACGAGTTCCGTACTGAACTTGCATTTTTGTTTTGACAACATTCACAGGGTAAAAAATAGTACTGATTATGGCACCAACAACAGCCCCACTCACAAAGTCAATTATAAGATGCCCCAACCATGAATTACTGGTTGGCAATGTTTCTTTGACTTTTCCTCGCAAAGAAAAGAACATAATATTGCTTGGTCCATTTCTCATAAGAATTGCAGTCAATCCTCGAAAATATTCTTTGGTCCCAAATTTCCTTAGTTCTCTAAATGCATGAAAGGTATTATGGAACTGTTTATGGTAGTTTCGATCTTGCAAGAGTGTCTGAATTCGCTCAAAGGGCATAAGTATTGCTTCTGTTGTCCCTGCTAATACTGATGATATACTTAAGCAGAGGAAAGGAGAAATAGAAGGGAATTGTTTCTGCAAAAAGTTACTGTATTCATTGTAAGTTCCAAACATTATGGACACAGACACAGTTTTTTGAATAAGGGGAGGCAAACAACCTCGATACAGGCGATGTAGTCCATCTTGTCTTAACTGATGAATAGCGTCATATAGGTGTACTCCATCTCTCATCTGCCGGAAGATGACCTTATGAATAGGGAAAGTAACACTGATATTGATGAAAGCTGCTCCCCATCCACATGTGTATTCTTGCAGATTCCTTGTTGTCTTAGGTTTACATTGGCTACTGCTTTCCAATATAGAAGTTTTAGAAAATTGATGGTTGGTATTTGTGGTAACAGGCCGAGATATTTCAACCATAGCCGAAAGTCTAGTTTTTCATTTCTAGAAGAACAAGAAAAAAAAAAGATAGTTATCTGGAAATAAGAAGCTAAAGTTACATTTCATGCATAATTTTCATCACTGAAAATTATTCAGTAATATGAATTATAAAATATCAATCATAAAATTAAACTACTTACTCAAATAAACACAATTTTTTAATGATTATATATAAATGTTTCTATTTTCATTCTAGTATTTCCTTAAAGGTGACTGTGATGGAACAAATCAACTGGTCTGATGGTTAGCAAATTATAGCTTGCACGGCTTGGCTTACGGAGGTATTGAAATTATCTTGTGATGTAAATCATAATATGCTTTTGTTCTATGTGTGTTTGAGTTTAAGTTTTGGAGTTTCATCAATTACAAAAACAAATTTTTTGTGACGTTTTTTATATATTTTTCCCAGATCCAATTTAAAAAAAAAGACTTCCATAAAATAAGCACAATAAAAAAAAACATTAAGTAACCCTAATTATTGTGCATTAATGGGCTACTTTGTGGCTTACCCATACTGAATTTTATGCTGTTTCTCTTCTCCAAAAATGTAATCAACATTCAACCAAATTTAGAAAGAAAGAAAAAAAAAAAAAAGGTGTGACATACACTAATCACATGCACATCAAATTGATGAAGGGCAAAGGCTAGCAAGAGTGAAATATGTCTTCTGTGAGAGGAACTTCAATGTGTAAAGAACAAGCACAAAATTACAATTCAGAACTTCATTATATGATGGTCATGATATATGAAATAATGTTAACAGCTAACTCCAAGCCTAGGAGGGTACAGAAAAAGCCTTGCTCCAGATAGTAAATGAACAGCCTAGGCCAGCACAATAACATTGCAGTCTCAACTCAACAAACAGTAAACAAAAGAACTGTTGGGTTGATGGTTAAGGGGGGGGGGGGGGGTTCTATTCAATGCTATAGCAATACACAAAGTAGTTTGAGATGAAAATCCAGCCACTCTACCTATCAATAAAGCAGAGAGAGAGAAAGACAGAATTGCCAAATGTGAAAGCATAACTTGGAAGCATCTAGATAAAAAACTGATTTGAGTTATTGAAGAAGACATCTTCAAAGTAAAAGCCTCTCTGAAAGTAGTGGCCATGGCATCTGTAAAAAAAGAAACTATGGCAAAGCTCACAAAGAGTATAAGAGATAAAATTAAAAAAAAAGCATCATAAATTTAAGAAATTTAAATTGACCGGTATGACAGGAGATTTAGAAGATTATAGTAAATCTATAAAGTAGGTGAAACAGGAAATTAGGACTTCAAAAAGGATGTATGAGAAAAGGTTGGCTGAAAATGTAAGAACTAACAGTAAGGATTTCTTTAAATACATTAAGGGTAAACAAAATGTTAGGATGGGGTAGAACCCTCAAGGGATGATAAAGAAAGGCTCGTATCTGATGATTAGAAAATGGCCAAGTTATTAAATTTTGCTTTCTTTTGTTTTTACTAACCAATATTCAAGCAGTATTCCACATCTTGAACAATTGATAGATGAAAACAAGATCGAACAAGATGATTACATTAATGCTAAGCTGGTTAAGAAACATTGAAACGTTTAAAGAACGATAAGGTTCCTGGGCCAGATAATATTTCCCCAAAGGTTTTGAAATAGGTTAAAGATTGGATATGTGAGCTTCTTGCTACTATTTTTTGTCAGTCCTTGATAAATGGGGAGGTACCAGAAGACTGCAGTTACCTAATGTAACTCCGCTTTTCGAGAGAGGTGATAAAAATTGTGCCAGTAATTATAGACACATTAGTCTTACATCAGTTGTGGGAAAAGTTTTGGAAAGTCTGATAAAAAAATGCTTTGCAGTCATTTAACAAAGTTTAGAATTTTATTGGATATCAACATGGTTTCACTAAGGGAAAATCTTGCCATACAAATATTTT